CTCTGACTCAAGCCGTGACCGAAATCTGATATCGACGACCGTCACGTTTGTGGCTCCATTGCTTCGATTAAGATGTCATTATTTGTTTGTGATTGAGGATGACGCTTTGAGCGATCGTTGTGCTTAACATAGGGTCGGTGAATTTGATTTCGGATTCTATGCAACCACCAGCGAAGACGTAAACGCTATGGGATACGATCGAAAGAAACAGGGTTCTGTTTTTCCCTCTTTTCCTATGTTCACGAGTTGTATGGATGTTGTTTTGTGTCCGAAAGAGCGAAAGGATTTTCGGTCATAGATTACTTTTTTCCTATTCTGTCTGTTCGAAATAATCACAATATGTCACTTTTAACTTTCAATAAGACGCTCTCAGTGATGACACCTCGTATTCTGTCAACCTGTCGTTTCATTCTGTAGGGCTTTATTTTTTCAGTCACCATGTCAGCACACTATGGTTTACCGGTCACTTCATCCTACGATCGACTGAATCAGGAAATGTTTTAAAAAGGATTGCTTTATTTCGCTCATCTTCCTCAAAGCGAAATTTTCATTAAGATAACAAGTGGAGTGAAAGCGGGAGTGGCTCAAGACCCATGCGTTGAATAAACACCAAAAGAGATTAGACAGAAGCGAAATTCATACGTTAAAACGTGACATGATGATGATGTAACCTGACTATCCTTCGGACTTCACATTCACGCACAATCCTCAGTTCATCGATTCAACCATACACTCGGAAGCATAAGACTACAGTTTCGCTCTTACTAGAACTCATCAGTAGTGAATATCCACTGTCCTGTCCATGATTTGAACTCCGGACCCATAGCATGGAAGGCGTGTGCGTTACCACTGCGCCAACCAGCTCATGCCATGGCTGAACCAAATTGCCAATTCATGTTTGTTCAGGTGTCGTCTTCAGTGATAATCAGTTTATTTGGCCCGACAGCAACTAAGGGAGACACAGATGACATACTGTTAGCTCCAATCGAAAGCCTCCCACCAAGTCAGGACTTCCTTGCAGGTACGGACTGAATCGCCAACAAACATGAATTGGCAATTTGGTTCAGCCATGGCATGAGCTGGTTGGCGCAGTGGTAACGCACATGCCTTCTATGCGATAGGTCCGGAGTTCCAATCCTGAACAGGACAGTGAATATGCAGTATTGATGAGTTCTAATAAGAGCGAAACTGTAGTCTTATGCTTCTGAGTGTATGGTTGAATCGATGAACTGAGGATTGTGCGTGACTGTGAAGTCCGAAGGATAGTCAGCTCAAATTATTTAAAATAATTATCCCACACCACTGCTCACAAGTAACTGTAAAGCAAACTTGAAATGATGATGATGGCCAATTTTAAATCTTTTCTTGTTACAACCTTTCGAGCTTAGGGTACCATGGAGGAATTCTCCGGCTACAGCTTTTTCAGATTCTCATGACTAAATAGCTCCAAAATCACGGCGATTGTACGCCACTATTCATAATTATAGTGAGCTACCACCTAGCGTTATGACTATATCTCGTTTACAGTCTCCTCTAGCCCAACTTACCTTCCACCGGTCACGGTTGTGAATCCATCGACTCAACCGGAGATCAAACCCGGGACCTCGCAGGTAGAATGCAAGAGTTCTACCCACTTGGCCACCAGGCGGCTGATCAGACCATTTTCATTTTCCTCATACACGATATAGCACAACCCATCTTTTCGAGCTTGTTGCAGGCTTCGTTCATCTCAGCACTAGCCTCCGGTGTTATGACTCGGTTGGAAACTGTCACCATCC